TTCTTTCTTTCTCTCTTTCTTTCTTTCTTCTTTCTTTCTTTCTTTCTTTCTTTGTTTCTTTTTCTTTCTTTCCTTCTTTCTCTCTCTCTCTCTCTCTCTTTCCTTCCTTCCTTCCTTCCTTCTTTGTTTTTCTTTCTTTCTTTTTCTTTTCTCTTTTTTGATGGAGACTCACTCTGTTGCCTGGGCTAGAGTGCAGTGGCATGATCTCGGTTCACTGCAACCTCTGCTTATGGGTTCAAGTGATTCTCCTGCCTTAGTCTCCTGAGTAGATGGAATTACAGGCTTCCGCCACCACATGCAGCTAATTTTTGCATTTTTAGTAAAGATGGGTTTCAACATGTTGGCTAGGCTGGTCTCGAACTCCTTACCTCAGGTGATCTACCCATTTTGGCCTCCCAAAGTGCTGGGATTTCAGGCATGAGACACCAAAAGGTGTATTGATACCTTAATCCCTGGTACCTGTGAATGCAATGGTATTTACTAATAGGACTGTTAACGATGTAACTACTTAAATTAAGATGAGGTTGTACTAAATTAGGGTGGGTCCTAAATCTCATGTGACCAATGTCCTTATAGGAACAGGAGAAGGATGTCCTTATAGGAAGTGGAGAAGGATGCAGAAAGGCACAGATGCAGACAGGACAAGGTCATGTGAAGACAAAGGCAGCAGTTTGAGTGATACAAACTCAAGCCAAGGAACACTGAGGATTGCCGGCCACAATTGCCAGAAGATGCAAGGAAGGATTCTGCCCAGAGATTCCAGAGTGAGCATGGTACTGCTGACAGCTTGACTTCAGACCTCTGGTCTCTAGAACTATGAGATGATACATTTCTGTTGCTTTAAGTCATCTCATTTGTGGTAACTTGTTACTGCAGCCCTAGGAAACCAACACACGGGTAACTGATGACAAAACAGAATATTTCATGTAGTATGAAAAGTGGCAGGATCAGGGAAAGATGGGGTGATACAGGCACCTAAGCAGGTGTTAGGGTTGGGGTGGGGGACACAACTTGCAGGATGCAATGCTTAAGCTGACCTCTGAAGGAAGAGTATCTAGACATGTAGAGTCTTAACATACACAAATGCAAAACATGGCTCCAAGATGCTCTGGAGCAAAGTTAAGCGGAGAGGATGTAGCTTCTGTGGAAGTTAAGAACCCTAAACATCAAGTTCATTGAACCTGAGCTCTTTTGCAGTGACTCTCAAAAATCTATAGACTCTCAAGAGCTGGAAGAAATTTTATACGGTCTCATTCAACGCTTAAATTCTCTCCATATTACTAACATCATGTGCATCTAATATCCAGTGACAGAGACCCTAGCCTCTGAGGAAACCCATTTCTTCCTTAGGAACCTCCACCAATTACAAAGTTGACTGAAAAGAATCACTTTCCTAGTTCTATTCCCTTTGGTCCTTATAGAATAAGTTTAACCCTTCTTGCATACACAGCCCTTCAAATATTTGAAGACAAGCCTATGACAAATACCATAGACTTGGTGGCTTAAACAACAAAAATTTATTTCGCACAGTTCAGGAGACTTGAAGTCTGAGATCATGGTGTGGTTCTTAGTGAAGGCCCTCTTTCTGGTTTGCAGAGAGCTGGCTTCTCACTGTGTCTTCACATCACACACACACAAACACACACACACACACACACAAGAGGGGAGAAAGGGGGGAAAGAGAGAGAGAGAGAGAGAGAGAGATCATCTCTCTGGTGTCCCTTCTTATAAGGACACTAATCCCATTAGAGAGAGCTCCATCTGCAAGATCTAATTACATCCCAAAGGCCCCTCCTCCAAATGCCATCACATTGGGGATTAGCACCTCAACATTTGAATTTTAGGGGAATGCAAACGTGCAATAGCAATCTGTAGCATCAACCTTGAATTCGATCTTCTCCAGGCAAAATATCCTCCAACAACTCAGAAGCAGCATGGTAATTAGGAGTAAAACCTCTGGGACCAGAGTGACTACATTCGAATCCCAGCCCTACCTCTTATTAGCTATGGGATCTTGGGCACATGAAGATTAAATGAGATCATTATATCAAACACTTAGAATAGTGTCTGCCACAGAGTTAACAGCACACATGCCTTAGCTATTATTACCATTACGCATTTTTTGGTTCCTTCAAATCTGTGGTATAGTTCTCCAAATGTTTTGATTTACAGGTTTTCCTGTTTAATACTTTAATACTTTTAAGTGGCAGAAGGGAGCTCTTGGGCATGTAATGGTCTCTTTCTACGAGAAGGAAAGGGGAAGTGATTAAACCATAGAAGTACTTGTGTTTGGCCACATAGTCTCATGTTGGAGGTGCCCATGTTATCCAGTGTTACCCTCCTGTTTCTAGCTCTGTGGTATGGCTAGGTCTTTCCTTGCCAATGCATATGCCTTTTAGCTTCAGCCTCAGCCTCCTTCCAGGGTACGTATGATGTGGCAGGGGGTGGTAGCTGTCCTGGGTGCTGCCTAGGGAGATGTCCCATTGTTCTCCCACTTCTCTTCCTGCCTGCTTTCCTTAAACTGCTCTGGCCAAGGCTGGGGTCAGGATCAAGGCCCCTGTGAGACACAGCACACCCACCCAATCTGATGAGTATCAGCATCAGTGCCCAAATTCCCTCAGCATGTTAGCCATTTATTCATCAGCCGTAATGGCTCTGCCTCCTGCCTCTGCCCCAGGCAGGGAGAGAGCCCAGTCTGTGACATTTCGGCTGACACAGCCCCTTCACCTTTTGACATCTCTGCTTTAAAAGTTTTTCTGTCTTTCTCCTCCACTGCCAGCAATCTTCAGCGTCTT